GCCAGCATGGAAAGCGGATGGGCAGGACTGGAAGCCTCAGGCAGATGAAACAGCATACCACGCTGCCAACTCCTTGGCACTGCACACTTTCTTGAGCAAGACATTATTCCAGCTGCCACGTGCTTTGGTGAGAACTGGCAAGCAAACAGTTACAAGCCCAGTGTTCCCATCAAGCAGGTATCCACGACAACCTGCAGCATCATTGCTCTACCAAATCCCAGTTGAACTTTGATGCCACAACAATTTCCAGAGGGAGCACAACCCGCACAGGGACGCATCCACCTCATCCCAGCACCTGGGGAACACGGGCTCCACTCTGGTGTGATGAACAGGCATGTCCTGAATATCAGAGCTGATGTTAGTACCCCTGTGGTTTGGAAGAGTGGTCTCTTTTTCCCTCCTCATCCCTCCTCTGTGGATATAGAGTCAGAGCAGATTTTGGCTATCCCCAGCTTTTTCACAGCCACACACGTCCCTGTTCTTCGCATGGAGGCTTGGAAGGGGAGTTGGACCAGCTGGACCCCAGAGTTCCCTTCCAACCTCAACCAGTCTGTGATTTTTGCAAGGTGCAAAAATCAACTCTCTGAGCACACCCAAAACCAAGCACGTTGCTGATAAAAACCAGGGAACTATTCTTGCCCCGACCCACAGCCCCAACCCCAGCTCTGTCGGGGTAACTGTACTCCAAAGAGCACAGACACTGGCCCGCCGAGGCCGTCGGACCTCCTGAGGCTGATGCCTGACCCGTGGTCCGATGACAGAAAACAGAAGCAGGGAAACCGTGCAGAGTTACCTGATGCTTTACCGCTAGCTTTTCTTCCCAGACATCTCATTTCTCCTCTGGGCCTTGCTTTCCCCAACAAGAAAGACGTCCTCTAGATACCAGTTCTGCTTATGCCGCACATGCAGATGAAGTGCCACAACACAGGAGGGAGGGAAGGAGCTGCACACAACCGCATTCCCCCTCCATATGGCTCCCTGCCATGCATCGATATGCCAGTGTCCCCTTATTAACACCTCCACCAGCCTCAAGATGGCTCAAAGCCCCCGAGACAGGACTGTGTGGCACTACCCAGCAGTTTTGACTTGCTTCTTTTCACACATTTAAGCCATGGGGCTCACTAACACCAAGGTCACGGACACCTCACTCTGGGTTTCTCTCTAGAATTAAGTGGTGCTTCTGGGGAGCGGGGTACAGCAAGTGCCCTCCCACCAGCTGCCAACAACAAAAGCAGGTCTCCTCACTTCCCTCTAAAAGCAGAGGGATTTATATATTTTTAGCATTTAAAAAAAATAAAAATAAAAGAGTCTGTTCCTCCCTCCACAGCCATTGAGGCCCAGAGGTACTTCATTCTGAAGAGGCTTTTATATAAAAATACAAAGCCTTTGCAGAATGCTGCGGGAAACCCCAGAAAATGCATGTTCTCCGTAAAAGGAAGGAGCTCGGAGAGCTTCAGCCAAACTGAGTGCTGGGCAGAGACGCTTAGATTCAGCCACACAGATCTTGCAACACTTTTCCCAAAAAGCCTCTCCTGAGCAGAACGAACTCAAGCAATTCTCAGTGCTATAAACCCTTCACAAGACATCCAAAGCGCTCTGCAACCCAGGAGACCCCCCAGCCCACCAGCCTGGTGCTAACGTGTACCCAGCTCCGGCAGAGACCTCACTGAAAGGGCCACAGCAACCCAGCAGGTCCAGCGGGGAACAGCCCCATCTCTCTGACGGTCCCATCAAGATCCCATTCATCTCTGGGTCCCATCAAGAATTTGACCAGGACAGGACCCTGTTGTCCCTCTTTATGAATGCTGGGGAATGAAGACTAGGTGAACAGAAACACTCCCTTAAATCTCATTTGGGAGACAGTTCAGTGCCCTAATTTCCTCCTAACACCTTACAGATGTGGAAGGCTGCACGCTGAAGAGCTGCCACTGCCACTTCCAGCAGCAGCAGCAGGAAAAGCCACCACGAGCCCACGGCTCCCAAACCATTCAATTGCAGCAGCAGCAACGGAGCTATGTCCTGCTGCCAGCACCCAGGCTTGTGGCACTGCACCTTGCTGCTCTCAGCTTCATGAAGGGTTTGGCACATCAGGAAGCTCGGCCGTGGTGGGTCTGCAGGCTCAGCTGAACGCTCTCATCCAACAACAGCCCAGGCCAAACACCTTTAAGCATACGAACAAGGAGGAGCCCAAGGGGACTTGTAACTAAGCCAGAATTTGTCTGGCTACATGCAGGTATCAAGGATGTATTTAACACCTTTGCCCTAAGCAGAGATTTCAGCAATGAGATCCCTCTAACTAATGTGCATATAACACTTGGTACCTCTAATCTTTAAGTAGCTACGTCCTCCTGGCACGCTGGGGAAGGCAGGGGCATGCTCCTGTTTAAAAGATGGGATGCCGACGTGTAGAAAGAGACTGTGCAGTCTGGTCCAGAAGAGACCAGGGACTCAAATCTGCATGTCACACATCTACTGCTTCTACCGTTAAGGCCCTTCTTCTCCCCTGTGTCCACCTGTCTTCAGCACACAGGGTACTCCAGACCACCCAGCCTCACCCAGGCAACAGGAGACACTGCAGCCTCCTCCCAGCTTCTAAAATCTCGAAAGCCAAACAGCACTGATTTTCTTCCCTTATTCCACCCCACCGTGAGAGAAGCCTCCCCCAATTCCCCCACCAAGTACAGACCAAAGTCACTCGTGAAGTAGTCGCGTCCCTGTTTCCCTGCCAAGGAGGGTCTGCGTTCATCCCTGAGACAGACCAGAGCAGGCTTGGCTCTGTGCTGCTCTAGAGCAGCCAAAGCGTTATCAGCTCTGAAGGCAGCCACAGGCAGGGACAGGAAATCAGCAGGAAAAGCAAAGTCTATCCCAGAACTCCTGTCCAGCCCCAAACTGACTCCCCAGTACTCCACTTCCTTCCTGCGCTACAGGACTCCCATGGATGAGGACATTCAGAGGCAGTGCTACCTACCCTGACTTGTTCTATTTACTTACTTAATTTTTAAAGGAAAATATATTTATCTGTTGCTCTCTGGAAACCAATCATCCTCTGCTTCTTCACCCTGTTGTTTCACCCGTCTCGCCATGGGAACCGCGGGTACTTTGATGCCTGACAGCCTGGCTGATCTCAGCAGGTCTTTTGAACCCACTTCCATAATCACTGCCTAAAGCAGGTTCTTCCCACGCAATTCACTGCTCAGTGAATCATGGCCAGTGATTTTCCTGTCTCCGGGAACCATGCAGCACTTAGCCGGGATGAGTTCTCTTCTCCCTTTAGCAGGGGAAATACATAATTATCAGAAAAACCACTCCTGTCCTAACAGGACACTGGCTTTATCTGCACCGAGACCGGCAGTTCCTGTTCTTGCCCCAACATCCGCTCCACCACGAAGGCTGGTTGTTCAGGAAATTCATTTCCATGTGTCAAGATTTCACTTAGTTTCTCAAGCTCCTCCAAGCTACAGACTTCGAATCACGAGCAGTCTCAGCTGGCATACATGAGGCTGCAGAGACACCGCCTTTTCAGTGCCCGGTGCCAGCTTTGCACTGGACGCTCCTAAATCTCAGTGCTGGCTGTGCACAGGCATACCGGGGTATTAATCTGTGAGCCGTCGACATCTTCCCCAACTCTTCAAGGCAACAGGGGAAAGAGCAGCAGTCTGGAAGGAATAATCTTGCAGGAAGGACCCAGCTCTGTTTGCAGGATCCCTCTAAACTAGAGGGGACAAACCTACACAGCACAGACCGCCGAGCAGAACTGTGGGCCAGCCACGAAGGTTGGTACACCCAGCAACAGATGTTGGGAACTGCACAAAATGGCCTTTTTAAAGGCCTCTTGGGCATTGCTAGGAACTCCAGCCCATGACTGAGAGCAAAGACAACAGCTAATTGGTTTCACACTGTTACCAGCTCAACAAGGAAACCCAAGACAAGGCTACAAAGGAGCAAAGCGTGACGTCGCTTGCCTCAGTCTCCCGGAGTTGCGCGCCAGACACTGTGAAGCAGATTCCGGGACTCGCAGCAGCAGAAAGGCAAGAAAACAAGGACTACACAACAGATACTACATGACCATCGCAGCAAACGCCTCCAGTGGAAAGCCACAACAGCTCGGGGACACTCAGAAGCAAGCAGCTATTCCTAAAAGACTAGCGGCTCCAAACAGACTCAAGCAAGTACAAACACCCAACCAGGCTGGAATCTACACAAAGCAGGCATTAGGCAAAGGCTCAAATATTATTAGCACAAAACATGGCAGCCTCTGTAGCCAAGCCCCCGGGTAGAGGATTTTTAGATGCTTTTGACATACCTCTCAGCCTGTCAGAGACTGAATGCAGGACACCAGCCCTTCAATGTAAAGAAAAATTCCTCACTGCAAGTGGCTGATGGGGAAGGGGCAGAGGCAATGACTCAGAGATGCATTTGAGGTGCTGATTTCATCGAGGAGGGATAGAAATTGAGGGTTGAAAACACTGAGCTCTTTTTCAGAGTAATTCTGGTTTGGTGTGTTTCGTTCCCCTGGACCTGGTGTTCAAAGCGTTTTACTGCCTTTGCATGAAAACAGCTTTTGAGCTCTTTTGAGTTCAGAAACTCTTGCTACTTGTCGCCACCCAACCTGGAGTCACAATCCTCCATCTGTGACACCCACAGTGTAGCTGGGAGGTCAGAAAGAAAAGGAGCCACAAGAACATGGCGAACTCGTTAAAGGAACTGAGATCCCATTCCCAGGCAGCCACCTTCACAATTTAGGTGAGTGAGGAAGAGCTGGGATGAGTCCTGCAGTCTACTTTGCAGGAGACATCAGCAGCCCTGTAAAAAGGACATGGCTTGGCATCACTCAAATGGGTGGAAATTCGGCTCTAGCTTTCACGAGGAATTGAACTGAACCTCTGAATGAAAGGACCCGACACCCAATGGGATGCAAAGCAACTCATCTCCCAAATGCACCGCCCCGGATTCAAGCTGAGAGGTAAGCAGGTAAGCAGGCTCCTTCCCCTCCTCCTTACCTTCGCACCCGGTGGTGTAAATGCTGATGCTGCCGCGTTATAAGGGCACTTTCCCAAACAGGCCCACTGTGACTACTCCTATACCAGCTCACGGCTGGGTGCCCCGGGTAGGGTGCGCTAGTGAAGCCATGGTCCGACTCCGTCTCTGCGGCCAGCGATGAGGCAGAGCTCCCCATGGTTCCCCCCTACCCAGGCCACGCTGAGATTTATCCTAGGTTAGGTCCAAGCCAGTGGCATGGGCAGTTCGGGTGGAATAGGCGAGGCGCTGCGGCATGGGCTGCTGTAAAGATCCCAACACACTGGAGAAAGGAAGGTCGGTTCTGATCAAGAGTTAAAAACAAAAAAAGAAAAAAAAAAAAGAGACAGGGGAAAAAAAGGAAAGAAAAAGAGAGAAAGGTAAGGTATGATTTAAGCAACAACCCTCCATTTTTAGAAGCCTATTAATGCATGCTCTGACCAGGATCCCCCATCCCAGCACTTATTGGGATGGGAAGGGCCATTTCACTGAATACAGCTTTTACTGCCTGGAGATGGGGAGTACGGGGGCTCTAGAAGAGGCTCTCCCCAGTTAAGCACCAGGAGTTCCCAGGCACGGGGAAGCAGCCTGACTAGCGGAGGAAAGCACGCCAGAGCCCAGCAGAAAGCCCTTGCCACCACAGTAAAGCAGCAGAAAAGGGGGCAAGCAAGTGTCACTTTAGAGCCCAAACCAGCAGCCCTTGGGAATCACACGCACAAAAGGTTATTCTGAAAGCTCCAGGCTCTGACTGGCACACCAGGTTTTTAGTTACCTCAACTACGAGGAGTACGACTCGATGGCTTGTATGCAGTGAGGAGATTTTTTTTTTTCCTTCTATGTAATATTTTTTTAAAATATCCCTCTTTTCCTGTTCCCCACTAACACCACAGTAAGGCTGAAAACAGACAGACTGGGTATCTGCACAAGTACATTTTCTGTGACTATTTCACACAGTGCAATGAAATACTTTCTTTCAGCTCACGCCAATTTTTAGCTGATACTGAGCATCCCCCTACCCATAGAAGCAAGTTTGGGGCTTTGACTGTTCTTCCTTTTCTCCTTCTCTCTTTCCTACTTTTTAGAATTTATTCTTTGAGCATCCTCACAGTTAAACCACAGAAACATTTCATGTCTTCTAGTATACAAAGAAGTTTAAACATACACACGTCTCTCCTTAAAGGAAAAAGGCACGGCAATCTGAATGCGTGTCAGGAGGAACGGATCAAGGGAACATTTAACAGAGGAAAAAAGAAGAAACGAGGAAGAAAAAAAAAATTAGCCCAGCTGAGCTTATTCAATTACCCACCAGGATTTATAGAGATGAATGAACTGTAGAAGGACCTTTGCGAAGAAACTACTTTGTGCAGTTAAAAGGCTAAAACAAAGGCTCCTAAAATACAGTTTTTCAATCCCAGGATTGTTCTAAGGGATCAAGAAAGGCCTTGATAGATAACAGACTCTCGGATGCGGCAGCTCAAGGAGCAGGTGCGGTTTTGCTACGAGCTTAATACCGGAATGTGCCAGCATTAGGCCATTAGCTGGAGAATGTTAACCGCTCTGTCGTGGTCTCTTCTCTGCAACCTGCAAAGCCTGGACTAACAAAATAAAACTGAAAAAAAAGCCCAAGAACACAGTTTTCCCTACCTCGATCTCCTCGTTTTAATTGGTCTGCCTAACTGCTGTGCATCAGCCAACACATCTCCACACTTTGCTTCCTGCTACCTGCCCAACAGCAAGATTTCACTGATTTTTGCAGATCCAGCCAAAATGGGTCCCTGGCGCTTCTCCTCTCATTTCCTGCTATTCAAGCAGTTAATTTGTAACAAATGCAACTTTCTGGCTAAATGAAAGCCATGTGATGCGAAGGAAGAGCATTTCCAAGTATCATCAGCTCAAGTCTAACTGCGGAGATCAGTTGTCCCACACCTACGGCATCTCCGGCTTTTCTGCCGCACCCTCGACGGCTCCCCCATAGCGAGCGCTGTACGGGCCCCAGCAGCCGCGCTGCGCAGCGGCACCAAAGGCATGGGGGGTTCAACTAAGAGACCTGCTAGAAGAACGAACTCCGTCTCTCACCTCAAGACTTGGTTTCTACCACCATATAAAGGCAAGATGGGTAGAAACGCGGCCCCGTACAGTTCACCGCAGCCTGAGCAAAACAGAAGGCAGGATGCTCGGTCAGTTAATAGCCTTTTTCCCCCTCTCGAGCAGAGCTAAACTGCCAAACAAAGCAATTCCAAAGGCTGGTTCAAGACCACTTCCTCAGCTGACTCTCAAGCTAGAGAAGCAGAACCCTTTGCTTCCTCCTCCTACACATGGAAACGCCAGTTTTAGCTCACCACAACAGGCGAGAGACATGCCTGCTGCCCGCATTACTGCTGGCTCCCAACGTGTTGCTCGTGTCTTGGCCCGTCCTCCTCCGCCAGGTCTGCACCAGGGAGTCTGAGCAGGCAGCTCAACGCAAACGCTTTGCAGGGAGAGGAGAGGCTGGGAGTCCTGCTTTAAGGCGGTGCGGTAAAACCCCACGGTGGGTGGAGCTGGGGAGAGGAAGGGATCTATAAATAGGTGGAGGATAACCTAGCTAAGTCGTAGTGATCTCCAAGAGTGTCTAGTCTAAGCGGGCTGCTTGGCTGCGAGCGCTGCGTGAAATCGGATTTCTCTGGGCAAAGCAGTAAATCCTTTTCTTCAGGGTCACCCCTCATGCCAGGTGAGAGCAGCCAATGAACAGCGTTTGGGGGGGGAACGCTGGCCCAAGGAGGGGAGAGGGTGAACCTGTTCGAAAACAGGAGGAGTGGCAGCATTACAGCTCAATGTTAAGCATGTACGTGCTCGCCATGCTGAGCCAGAAAACGCCTTTGGCCAACACTAAGCAAATGAAGAGCCTGCAAGAAGTAAAGGCGAGAATGAAAACTACACTCTAGTAAGGGAAGGGGTCAATTAAAGAAGCCTACAAAGAAGAAAGCCCCTCTGGAAGCACCCAGCCTTATTTTTGAGGAACTTCTCCCACCGGGCAGGGAGATGCCCCAGGAGATGCCCTGCGGGCACATCGCCCGTGCTGAACAGGGGAGGCTGCAGCCGCGGAAGGGGAGCAAACTGCCAAGACCTCCTCTGCCTTGGCAGGAGGGAGCAGGATTTTCCTCCTAGTTAATAAAGCACTGCTTCCACCTACCTAAACAGGAGAGGAAGCAACAATGTGAACAGATTGAAGTGTCTTGAGAAGGGTGGATCTCACTCATGGAAATTAATAGTTAAGCACCTTAGTGCTGAGTTTGGATTTTGGTTTTTTGCCCCTTGCAGCTGCAATAATTACCAGGTTTCAGCTGACGCTGTTTAACTGCTCCCAAAATATTGCTTCCAAAATAAAACCAGATTTGGACTTTCCACCCCCAAGCCACTCGCACCCACTTACCCTGATCTGTTGTACTTGATGCAGACCCTTCCTCAGATTGCCCCACCAGCACCCTGAGCAGCAGGCACTTAGAGCGAGTTCAGGACAGCAGAGCTTTCCCATGGAGGTTCCTCCTGCTGCCAGGACAGCAGAGCAGTCGCCTGGATGCTTCCACATAAGCCCTATTCCTCAACACCAGTCAGCAGTGCTGACCCTTTGGGCCCCAGCTCCTCTGTCACACCACCCACAGCAAAGCAGGCAGGAAGGGTGGGGATACGGGTCTACCCAACCCCCTTTCCTTCCCTCTGGCTCCAAAGTAGGTTTTGGCTCTGAAGAGAGCAAAAAAAGAAAAAAAAAAAAAAAAGGAACTAGCCCACGTGGTTCAATGTATCTAGGAAGTTGGAGGATCAACTTTTCCTACCATCCTCCTAGGATCAGCCCGAAGCTCAAAAAAAGAAAAAAAAAAAAAAAAAAGGAACTAGCCCACGTGGTTCAATGTATCTAGGAAGTTGGAGGATCAACTTTTCCTACCATCCTCCTAGGATCAGCCCGAAGCTCTTCCCTTTGGCACGCAGCAGGAAGAAGAGACAGAGGTCCCTGGAGCTGCTCCAGCCCACTGAGGAAACCAGCGAGGCAGACTGACCCCAGCTGCTCCCATGCGCAGAAGCCCCCTCCTTGTGATGGGATATCCCCCACACTCCTTTTCCAATTCATTTATTCGTCCATGCAGCACAAGCCAGCTCAGCTCCTGCCTGAGTTTTCCAACCTCTTTTGGTTCTCAGCCTCCCAGACTCAGGGACACGACTTCGTCACTTCATTAACTCCTCCACTCCCCCAACCTATAAATAAAGTCACCTCTGAGCTACTCCCTTGCTCCAGGGAAGATCCAGGAATGAAAACACAGCCACCCCCCACACCAGACAGCTCTAGTCTGAGGTGCCGGGCCAGCAGCTGGCCCAGGAGAGGGCACACCATGTACCTGGGGGAAAAACATCCCTCAAAGCTCTGCCCAGAGGGAGCCACGTAAGAGGAGGCTTAATTCTAGGATTGAAGCTGCAAGCACCAGCCCTCCTCTTCCCTCTGCTGTGAGAACTCCCCTGCCTGGGGGCTAAGGCAGGCTGGGACCTGATACCACCCTCAACAGCAAAGGAGGAGCTCTCTACGCTCACTCACATGCAGCCTGCTGCTTGCACAGAGAAACAAGGGTTCCTGAAGAGCTTGGGATGTCCAGTCCCCACACGCAGCCCTGGCAGGAGCAGCCTCCTCTCTAGGGACTGCAGGACATAACTCACCCATCCTAAACACAAAGTAGTTTGGGGCAGATGAGTGCAGCTGGAGGAGCTGTGGTTGGCTTGGGGCATCAAGCTGGAGGAGACCACTTCATATATCATGAAGACATGGCCCTCCACCAAGCCTGTCACCATGCACAGGAGGACATCTCCCCACCTACCACCGAAGGAGACACATGCTCACGGGGGTCCAGGGTAAGCAGGGAAGAGTGTGCAGGGATGGGTAAGGTACACAGCATGAGACATGTCAGCGTAAGAAGGCTATAAAGTCACAGAGGAGGTCAGGCACAGAATAACTAAAGAAGGATGCAGAGTGGAGGCCTGATGGTGTGTCATGCCAATCAAGCAAGGAAAAGAAGCTCAAGCATTTGTGTGCACAGCAAGTGATAGACAGCCGTGCTCCCAGCTCCACAAGGCAGGGTGGCAGAACCTGAGGACGTGCAAAGCCAGGTACCGGCACCAAGCAGAGCATGACTTGTATTCACCAGGCTGAAATGACCCTGATAAAAGAAGTAACCCCAGGGGAGGAAGGGTGAACAATCCCTCTTTTTCCAAAAGGCAGGAGGGAAAAGAGGAGACAAGCAACAAGACATCCACCTCAGACAGATGCAGGACAGATTGAAATCC